GGTGGTCCATTGATTCGTATTTCGTTCGAATTCGATGACCAAAAACACCCGACATAATGCCAATTGGCGCTTTGACGTCCACATTTATCGGCCAATACCAGCAACTGGGAATAATTTCCGCGCAACTCGGCCAGTCGATGATAAACTTCTACCGTGGGGTTGTTGTCGACAATCATATCTAGCTCGATGTTAATTCGTTCCAAGAAATCTCGTAAGCGTCGTAGAACAATACTACTGATGAAACTACACACTAGATAGTGAGATTTCTAACGGTCGTCTACGACGTCAACAACAAGGGAATGTTGTTAAATCATGATGATTCATCAATAAATACATTAGTGTGATAAAAAAAAAAAATAATAAACATGATAAAACTTGTTAATGCACATATGGATCCGACGGTGGAGCGCGTTCGCACCGGTCGGGCACAAGCGTCAATGCGCACGACACAATCACGACGTGATAGGGCATCTAGGGCTCACATTTTCATAGCACAGAGTTAGCGTTTTGTGCCATATTTTTCGTATATTGAGCGCCCGACGCTTTTATCACAATAATACTAGTATTTTTTGTTCATAATTATTTTAAAAATTATTTTTAACTTTTTAGTTCGATGTACTTTAAAAGCGTGTTTTTTTAGTTTTTTAAACTATATTTATTCCAATATAAAAACACGATCATCGATTGCTATGTAATCTCGACCGAGCGCGTCCAAACGATTAGTTATTACAAACAAGTTATTTTTTAAATTATCGATGTCATCCGCATCGTCGTATCCGCTATCGCTGTCGCCACTGTTTACGATCTGATATCTGCTACTGTCAACGGTTTGTGTGAATGCATTAAAATCAAAAAGATTGTTGCAGCCGTTATGCAAAAAAATAATCCGATACGCGAAGCGTCCATCTGTTTAATATGCTCCCACAACGTTTTGACGGTTGTGCTGTCGCTGATACTGTCCATTGTGTTTGCTGTACAAACGTACAGTGAATTCTTCAGGTCACTCGCAAATTCGTGGTAAATATTTCGTGCGATTGACGTCCACCGTGGAAGGACACTACAATAATATTGCAGTCACAAGTGTTACCTTTATTATAGATATGTGTTCAGTAATCGGTTATATTTTAAAATAACAAACACATTAATTTCAAGATTAACAGACTTTGGCTATTTGTACTGTACATTGATGGTACGCATCAATAAAAACCGAATATTGTATTTCAATGTTTCAATAAAAGGGTATATAGTAGTATAGACACACAGAATCAATGTTGTAAACAACAAACGACCTTGTGGTAATGCTGTGAGATATTGCGCCTACGCGTTATGCACGTGTTCAGTGGTTTTTTTTATCAAACACAACGACTGTCGGAATGTCTGGAATGTGTAGCGGAACCACATGGAAGGGGTATTCATCATTTACGAAAAATCGACTTAAACATAAACGAAAACGTCGAGGTGAATTGGCACGGCTGTATATAGGGTTGTGACACATCAAACGCGCGGACTCGACGCGTACTATACGTACGTTGAACCGTTAGCGTGTAGGTACTCTGGAAAATGAACTTTTTTTTTTTTGACCGACCCAACTAACATATATATTATATAGTTGGAATTGTGTAACGGGACACAATATAAAATATTTTTTTTTATATCACGGCTTGATAGGACACGTCATTGGGCTCACCTTATCATAGCATAGAGTTACGTTAGCGTGTTGTCATAAGGCTGTAATGTAATGAGCAAACTGTAGTAGTAGGTTCAGGTATGACGTCATAGAGCTTACACTATAACAAAGTTTAGGTATGACGTCATAGGACGCGTTCGCACCGGTCGGGCACAAGCGTCAATGCGCACGACACAATCGCGACGTGATAGAGCATCTAGGACTCACATTTTCATAGCACAGAGTTAGCGTTAGCGTGACGTCGTCATAGGGATTGTGTGTGTATGTGTGTGTGTAACGGTCCAGCTGTAGTAGGTTCAGGTATGACGTCATAGCGGCTTACCCCTTTGGTCATGGTTCAATGATGTGACGTCGTCAACTAGGGGGATGACGTCACGAGATTCACTTGGATGCACCTGGATGCAGTCCCCACGGGCGCCGAGGCCAGGGGGGGTTACGGTAGGTCAGGTGTGACGTCACTATGACGGAATGCATCTCACCTGTGCACCCATTGCATATTTTCCCGGTACCTTTGAGAGCCCGTACCACCACTTAATCCTGTGTCTTACATTCTCGTCAATACCACTGCTCTTTTGCACTATTGATCCTAAATACTTGAAATTTTCTATCTCCCCATTCACACTCTCGCCTATTGTCACTGATCTCCTCATTTTACTTACCTTATGTTATCTTTTGTCAACCCAGCCAGAATTTCTGGTCATCATAAAATTAATTGTCTCAAAGTGTCTAAAATTGGTCTTGTTCTATTAAATTCAATGGTGGATAATAACTTTCATGATATAAATCTTAAAAGGTCGACTAAACTTATAACTGTTCTTCAATAACTTCTATTGTTAAAATTAATAATGAAATAATTAAAGTAAACCCCTTGCTACTATTTCAACTAATCGCTATTAAAAAAAAAAAAACAGCAGTGTTTCGGCACAGTGTGTATAATTGGGTGCAGTATAAATGATATGTGACAGTGATTTAAATCATTATCAAAAAACAACGCCTTGATGCAGATCTGTAGATAATGTTTAATTTTAACATTTTAATGGATTATTACAAAAGCTACATGATCTCCTATTTACTTATTTATATCCTAAATACAAGTTATATGCATTAATAGTGCAAAGTATGTAATCGATGGAGGATTTCTCTACTATAAAGTTATTTGACAAATGTATCAAAACAAATTTTTTTACAAAATTTCTTATTCATTTTCCCATTCTAAATTTTGATAGAATATATATTCAACAAAAGTATAATTTTCTTAATCTTCGATCTTTATTTCTATAGACTTTGTACGCCATTGACCTTTGCAATGTTCACATATAATAAAACATTTAAGCCCTGTTTTTCGGCAGCCACAATTTTTACTAGCTCCAGCACCTAACTAAAGGCTGTTTAATGACAATTATCTTTATTATTAGCAGAAATTCCGGTGGCAATGGACATAATATAATTGTTGTTTGGGAATGTATAATTTAGTGTTTAGTTGGGTTTAAACAATATAGCGTCAAATCAATTTCCTACTCTATCGGTTATATCTTAATATACACTACACTTTAATGATACTCTAAATAAATAAATCCACACATACACACATAAGCATTTATAACATTGTGTCTAATGTAAGTATAATATGATAAAAAGTAACCGTAAAATGAAAAAAATTGGAAAATAAATTTTAGTACTCATATTAAATGTAATGTAACTCGAAAAATATTTGTTTAAATGAAAAAATATAAGATATCATTTTTGTTTAAAATTGTCTTTTAAACAACTTTTGTACGAAACTTTTTTTTGAAAGTTGAATATTTTTTGAAAAAATTAAAAAAGCTCATATTTTTGAACTTTTGCGAGGCTGTAAAAAAAAAGCTTAAGTCCAATTGATGAGGACTTTTAGTATGTCATTATACATATCTTAAATCAACTTTAAAAAAAAAAAAATTTGGTTAGGGATTTTTTCCGCCATTTTTCCTTTATTGACTGGCCTACACTCTCTCCTCGTTGATACGTCCTACCACTTCTGCTAAATTTCATGTATTCCGTCTTTTCATCATTTATTATGAGACCAACTTTACTCGCAGCAGCCATTACTTTCTTACAATGTTTCTTCATTATATCTATATGTCTCTTAAGTCAACAAACAATATGTATAACCCCTAGACGTACTCCCATATTTTTTGGAATACCTGTTTTATAATAACTTCTTTAGAAATATTTTCCCAAAAAAGAGAAACTATCTACATATTATGATTCGTTAAAAGAAGTTAGTTATTAAATCTAATAATATTTTCATTTAATCCCCACTCATTATCACAAAAAGATATAATTAAAACAATATAAAAAGTACAAAAACAATGATACACTTAAAGTACAATAATACAATACGCAAAAAAAAAACTTATTGTCATAAAAATATCGCGCGATAAGAGTTTACTTTCGGTGCTTACGAGGTTCTCTCTCTCCTCCCTACAATTAATTCCATTTCGTCTTAATTATAAAAATATTTTGTTTTTCTTCTTTCTACGAATACAAAATTAATAATACAAAAAATGTTTATAAATATTTACTTCCTGGTTTAGTAACAATAGATTAGGAAATTACAATTAAACCAAACATTACAAAAATGTTTTACTTTCAGCTTTAAAAATAGTGATCTATATTACATTTCAAGGCATCAGCGCCGATATAAATTTGGCTACCACAATAGCGCCTTGATAAAATTTTTATAAAGACTTAAATATTTTTGAATCTTATATAGGTCAAGCCAGAGGAAACTTTAAAAAGTATTGGTTTCGATCTCTCAAACAATACCTTTCTCAAATAAAAATAAGTGTCCATTATAAAAATTATTTTTATAATAAAAGACCATAAAGAGAGTTTAGAATCTTTTACATATAAAAATAAATTGTAGTTTTAATGTAATAAAATCTTATTATTTTAAATTAAATTATTTTCATAAATAATTCTATTGACTATACAACGTATGATGTGAACCTATACGTAGAATCAACGTTAGATCGCTTAAAATATCATTATGTGATATAGAATGTAAGGTAAGTAAAAATTTAATTCATATTTTTAAAACACAAACAATCTATTGCGTAATAAACCATTAAGATAAATGTTAACGGATATTTAACATCATTTACTTATATTCACTACATAATCTTAATAAACGGTGATCTGTATAGAGTACATAGGTATATATTGAAAATGTTGATTAAATACCTATATGACGTAATTATTTATTTACTAACCACAATTCTATTTGTTACATTTTTATCACATGTATTTTACATTATTGTCAAATATAAATGATTCTATTGCAGTTCCCACCCTTTTTAAAAAAATTAGCACTGTTAATTCTAGTTTAAAATAAATTGTTAGTATATCAGCTGAAACTTATCACTTTCTTGTCAATTTCACTGATAAAAGTAAAGAACGTATTATTATAAATAAAATTCAAATATTTAAAATATTTTAGAACGATCAAAATTAATATAACTGTATTTCATAATTATTTTAGTTTGAAATGTTTGGATAGTAAGAATGAATACATATAATTCATTATCCATATTACTTGCTTAAGAAAATTAATATGAATAGTTTTGCTCACAATTTTAAGAATGAGTTAGTATTAAAAACAATGAATTGGTTTACTATTTTATTCAAGGTAAAGTTAATAATTTGCAATAATTTTCTAAAAATTGTTTATATTTTTTAGATATAAAGACAATGAAAGTTGTCGTTCAAACATCAAAGCTTACTAGAAGATTTATGCGAACTACTCCTATTAGAACTATAATTTTTTTTCAAGGTTTTCAACTTCATTCTGTAAAAGAAATTAAATGTAATAGTTGTCATATTGAAAACTATATTCAATTTTTTAATAGAAAAGAAAATATTCATTTCATTATCAAACGATTTTTAAATGTTAGTAAATATAGTTTTTCTAAAAATTATTATGAAGTTCTTGGTATTCCCAAAACTGCTAGTCAAAAAGAAATAAAAAATGCCTACTATAAATTAGCTATGATTCATCATCCTGATAAAAATGGTGGTATTTCTACAGCAAAGTTCAGGGAAATTAAAGAAGCGTATGATTTTCTGAGTGTTGAATCCAACCGAATGAAGTATAATAATGGTGGGTATAACATTCAAACTATAAAATTACGAATATATAAAATTTTTATGTTCAAAAAAAAAAAAGATAGTTTTATCTATTATAAATATATTTATATAAAAGCTAATTATATTTTTAAAAACTGAAAAAATATTGTGTTTGCTTGATTCAAAATCTAAGCCATAGAATACATATTTTTGTCTGTTAACTATTTTTAGATTTCCATAACTATACAAATCCTTCCAACAGTTATTCAAATTCTTCAAGCAATTGGAATACTAACTCTTCAACTGGCCGATATACGTCAAGTGGTTTTAAAAAAAAATCTAGTTTTTATGATTACAATTATAGTTATAACTATAAAAATTTAAAACCTTATAATGTTTACATAAATATAATTATAGTCCCTAAACGTGTTATTAAAACTCAAGTTGACATAATGCTTTTAACTTTTGTTAGAAATCGTATACTTAAATCAATCCTTTTCTTTATTTTTGAAACATTATGGAATCAAGTTCTAAAAAATATCAATTTTAACATATTAATACCCAATAATATCGATGACAATATTTTTGTATCTTTTCTTAGTAATTTATTAGGTTATGAGAAGGTTTGTATTAATTTAACTGAATCTGAAGCAATTATGGGTAAAGCTGTTAGAATCAAGGTACGTGAAGATCAACAAGTATTAGTAGTTAGCATCCCAAAAAATGTTAGAAAAGACCAGTCATTTATTTTATTTTGTCTAAACGATGAAATTAAAAATACAGAATTTAAAACTTAAAAATTTCATGTTTATATTTTGTTAATAAAATTTTGTTGTTTTATGATTTTTTGTTATTTAAATTACTGGGTAAATAATTTTTAGTATATAACCAGTTATTAAAAATTAAAAACTAGATCTTTAAAATTTAATTTATAATTCGATATTTATCTCAATTAATATCATAGTTTTAAAGGTGTAACATAGTTATCAAATAAAGTACACTTTACATTCTATTTTAACTCTGAATCATTCATTGTTAAACTTTATTTTATTCTTTAAAACTAATTTATCACAACGATCAAAACAAAGTTAATCAAATTGTTGACTTTAATTAATAGTAAATGTACTTAATTCATGAACTACTTACATTTTCAATCATGATTTCCTTAAATTCCATCTGAACTATTTGGGGTCGGCTCTACAATAATTTTATGGAATTTTTACACAGGCTTTATCCTAATGCAATCTTATTATGGCTAAGGGAATATTTACATTATTTTCAAAGGAACAAAAAACCGATTATATTACTACAACTTAATTTTTTGTGACTATAATTAAAGTATTTTTATATTTATTTTTCAATATCACAACATTATTTCTTTAGTAGAACAAAATCCTAATTGTAAATTCCATAATTCATCAATAAATGCAATTTATAATTTTGGTTTTTATGGTTTGTATTAAAAGAAAAGCCTAGAAATAATAATTCTATACTTCAATCATTGTAATCTGGTTAAAATTATAGTTTTTTAATAAAAAGTTAAAAACTTTTATTTATATTTTTCCACTGGAGAAAAGATGTGCATTCTTGCATCTATTAAAGTACTTTTATTTTTAATAAATCTTAAAAAAAATTACTAACAAATATATACTATAAGTAATATAAATATAAGCAAATAACTTTTATTTACACTTATAAATTATACTAAACAAAACATCAAAAACATATTTTACAATTAAAATTTTTTATTTCATTAGTTATAACATTAGCGATCATTAATATTTTTTATTATAACAATAAATTATTCAAATTTTTACACAGTCGATAACTTATATTTTTCCAATGATTCTGAATCTAATTGCACAGGACTTACTGAAACATCAACATAATGAAGAATTAATGAATCTCCATTAAATATTAAACCATCAGTAATCATACGTCCAAACACACAGTCCATTGTTTCTGAAATATGATAACCATCATAAAGTTTGAATAACCTAAGTTTGGGTGCACTACTTTTATCATTCCGGTTTTCAATTTTTAAACGAACTGCAAATAAATCAATAGTTCGCCCAACAGTCCAATTTTTACTAGTAAATAGAGGTACTGCAGAAATACTTTTATCATTTTTTATGGGTGGATGAACTGAAAAATAAACTCTATCATTTGTTGGTATCTTATTATCTCCTAAGGCTTTGCTTTTGAGTTTCATTAATCTAATCTGTTGAGCCATTTTTCTTTTTTCAGGCTGTAGTTCTGCTTGTTTTAAACTAGCTTCAATCTGTATAGAAATATACACATAGATTTATTTTTTTTAATTAGATTTATTTCAACTATATTTAATGTTACCTTTTTGTCAGCTTCTTCTTTGACAATTGCAAATTGGTTTTTAGATTTTTTAGCTGCTTCTCTTAAAATCTTTTTGCGCTCACATCCAGGAAGTTCATCAAGACAACCATGATGTCTATGAGCTAGGCAATAGTGTTTGTCACACTTAGGACATAGCATTTCACATGGGTTTTTTGTATCACAAGTCTCATGAGTGCACTTATACCAAGTTGTCTCCTGAAAATTATAGATATATTAATAACTTTATGTATAAATAAAACTTTGGACAATTAAAAAAAAATTAAAAATCCATTCAAATTGTTATGAATTTATAAATTTAACAAATTAAAACCTATTTCAGCTACATTATATAATTAAACAAAAACTTAAAACATACAAATTTTATCCCAGTATCTTCAACAACAGTAGTTGGAATACATTGATGGTTATCAGGTCTTGAATGATCACTACAAAATATTTTTTGGCATAACCCACAGTGAACTGGTAAAAAATCTAATTGCTTACAATCTGTATAAGCACAATGTTTCCCAAAATTAGGAAATTCCATTGTTTTAAATTTAAATTCTAGGTGGAGGAGGTAAAGGGTTATCACTGGTAATATTTGATAGCGCTAAATCGGGCCACTTGGTGTCTTGTTGAGTTAATGTCAAATGAGCATCAGTTGCATCTGCTTCAGGATCAGGTAATTCTTTAATAGGCACTATAATTTCATCAAATGGTAGTTTATCTTGACGCCATGTATCATCAATTAATTTTTGTAATCGAGCATTGACTGATGGATTACTATCCATAACATTTAAATTGATAATATTATCTAAAATTACAAAGGATTAATATATTAAAAATCATTTAACATAAACTATAAGTTTGAATAACCTTTATTAATTATAATTCTTAATTTAATTAGTAATTATACTAAAAAAATTATTGTTTTAAAGATTATAACTACAATATACTATATTTGAGCACAGCAACATAGCATGCTATATATATTGCGAACTATTACGATAGTTAACCTCAACAATTGAAAATAAAACAGGAAATCAATGATTTAGTTTACATAGATTGAAAAAAAAAATGTAATATAATAACTTACTAACACAGTGAAACGATTATTCAAACGCACATTGCGTTTGGTAATTTGATATCAAAAACTGAAACGAAACTGACCTTAACAGTTAACACTAGACTATTTTTTAGTTTGATTTTATTTTTTTTATCACAATGAACTGTACTACATACATAACTAATAACGAATAATTGACTTAACGCGTTATCAATTTAACCAGTTCAAAAAATTTCATCAACTAACTGTATTAAACGGGAAAACACTTATGTAATTAACTGATAATGTTCAGACATTTTCATGACTCGACATTTGATAAAGTAGTAATTGTTCTGAACATTTGGTTCTTCGACCATCTGATACCATAACCACGATAATTTTACTCAGTCATTTAATGAAAAATAAAACTCGGCAAAAACTACGATATTGCAGATAGCCAAAAATTTTTTTGTTTATTTTATACTTACTTTTATTTAAATATTTACTGTCTATGTAGTAAGGTATAATAAGGAAATAGTTAAAATGTAAAAATTTTTTTTTTGACAGTGTTTTCGTGTGTTGATTTTGTTCCAAGATGATCCTCGTTTGAATGACTTTCACCTTTTTATTTATTTAATTATATTTATTTTAATCAAAATTTCTTTACCAAAAATGGATAGTTATTTTATGATTACAAAAACGCAATCTCGAATTATGTGAAATTTTTATCAAAGTACTCTTTTGAAGTGACTAAATTTTTATTTAAAATTATTCGAGTCTGAAATTATTATTTTACAATAGAATGTTTTTCACTCTCTAATGTTCGTTTTTCTAATTCTATTTCCAGTGCTTTCTGATTCTTTCGACCAAGAGGAGTTCTTGAATACCATTGTATATATGTTTCTTCTTCTTCTTTATAAACAGGATCATGGCGTGCCAAAGCATTTAAAATTTCTACATGCATTAAAGGACGAATAGTTAATTGTAGAACTCGTTTACAAGTCATCACCTATAACACAAAACAATGAAAAATTGATATTCAAAGATTTTCAATAGTACAAATAAGAAATGTTTTCATTAAAATTGTGAAAAAATAGTGTTATTTAAAGACTCCGCGACTTTACATCATCATGTTAGTTTTTGATAAAATTGAATAAAAGCTATGTTTGTCGTGCTAATTGTTAGTCCAATTGAGTAAATATTTATGCTTTCTACACCATAAATAAACATTTAACTACTTAAAAAATGTATACCTCTTGTAATACTTTAATTATTGTTCCTACGCTATAACCACTCGATAATTTTGCTAACATACTGACATTGAATTTTCTACTAACACCACTGTACTGAAATAATAAATCATTCCAAATATGGTACAAACTAGCGTAATCTGGTCGAGGGATAACAATTATTTTATTATATGTAGTTGTCAACGACTTCTGTTCACAATCCCAGGGATTAGACGATATTCCTAGAAGTAATATCTGAAAGAGATGTATAAAAACTAATAAAACATATATTAAATAATTTGTTTTTAAGTATGAATAGGTTAGCTAATTGTCATAATAATTAATCGTCAAATTACCCTGTCCGTGGGTCCAATAGATTTTACCAGTTTAGGTAAATCTTTTTTCAATCGTTTTGGATCGGTTTTGTCTGTTTTAGGTACTTTTTTCATGAACGTCTTTTCTGCATCTTCTATGTATATGATCGCTGGTTGTAATAATCTAAAACATACAGAATCATTTTCATAAATGATAAAAGCCAATGTCTTTTAGCATATGAAAAAAAATTGTACATCGTGATAATAATTTGCCTAAAATCTACTATGAAATCGTTAACTTATGATGAAGGAGTACCTGGCTACTTTGTTAACTAAGTGAAGTAGCATAGTCAAACCGGATTTACCGGGATATTTGCCGACTATATTGGCTGATGTCAAGTCGAATAGCGTAGCTCCTAGTTCAGTACATACCGCATTAACTAACATGTGCTTTCCAGATCCTCGAACACCAGCAATGAGCACTGATCGTACTAACGGACTGGCTTTATGTATTTCTTCACTAAGCATTGGTAAAATACAATTGTCTCGAATAGCTTGTCGAACATCTCCAAGCGTAGGTGGAGGATCGTAGTCCCAACGCATAACGTCACATGCGACCAATGAAGTGCCACCTTTAAAAGAAGACAAACTCACGTTTGGGTATTTATGAATAATTCCATTCATCACCAGTTCTTCAAAAAGAGATTCTAGCTAAAGATAAAAAAAATTAAAAATAGAATAAATTTCATAAGTTAATCAAGGTACTTAAATTCTAAAAAAAATTTCAAATTCACAAATCATTAAATTTATTTAAAACGATGAGCTATATTTAAAAAAATTACAATTAAAAAAAATCGATAAACAAAAAAAAACACAATTTCCCTATTCGTACCGTTCTATCCGGTGTCAAATCCTTATCTCGTTTTTTTTTTGCCTTTTTACTGCTTCTTTTAAGTTTTTTTTGTTTTTTTGCTCTTTTGATTCGGATAGCATTATCTTTGTCTAATGCATTTTGTAACACTTCTAGTTCAGCTCTCAACTGTACGTCAACAATCTATTCAAAGTCAGAATAAATAGTTTTATCTATATTATTATTCATAAAATATTTTGTCTTATTTCTACCTACCTTTCTGAGTTCACGTTCTACCTCAGCCTTTTTTTGAGCTTTCACAATGCTTTCTATGTGTCTCTGGCTAGTGTTGTTTGTTTCATCCATTCCCTTCCATACTTCATCGTATTCTGAATTAGCTAACATAAGCTCTTGTAAAAAGTTGGACGGTGACATTTTGAAACCGACTTCTTCTTCGTCAATTTTTTTCTTTTTCTCTTCTAAATTTTCTTTGCTTGCATTGGTGATTGACTTGCTTTTATGGCCTATCAGTGGTACATCAAACATGACAAGTGTATTTTATATCGCTAAAGATAATATTTTTAAATTGCTATAAACAATCCTATACATTTGGTTGCGAATCTATAAAAAAAAATTTCAAATAACTATTATAAAACTAAGTATGTTGATAATATCGTCGAAATTAAACGTCTTAAAAATAAACTCTCATTTTATTAAAGGAAACTTAAATCACGTTGCTAACATAATTAAGAATTCTATAGAAGTTATTTGAAAATAGAAAAAAAAAATTTTCATAATTGTAGATAGGTGGGTCTGAAACGTTTTAAACGTGTTCAAAAGAGTAAAAATTTCAAAATTTACATTGGTTTTATGGGACATTTTAAACGTTTGCTAATGTCTTAAACAGTTTTCTTTTTAAACTTGTTATTTAAACAACCTATGGATATGCCAGCCTATAGCCAAGATACAGATATGATATTTTACTTTTAGTGCCTTTGGACGACGATTGGCTGGTCGACTTACTGACCGAACTTGCCGTTTTGTATCGTGTGTAGATTACTGCAGATCCACCGCTTTCCTCAGATGGTAAATCTGGAAATTTACCCGTTTGTGATTTAACACCCATATACCAAGCCCTTACTTCATCTTTTATGTCTTCCTTTATTTTCTCTTTGATGTGTGGTTTAATCTAAAATAATTATTTTCAATTAACACTGATCCCACAAAAAATTCATTCCGTGTACTCTTAACTTTTTCTTTCTCTTCTACGAGTGCTCGTTCATATTCTTCTCGCCTAATGATTTGTAAAGCTCGTCTGATACGATTCACTTCGTTCGCTTTTTGACGTTCTTCCGTGATAACGACGTTTGGTGGTAGCATGCCGATTAGTAACATTTCTTCTACTACCCGGCACCTAATCTTCCGCCTAGTGATGAATCCTCGCCACACTCTCTGAATCTTCATGGCTGCTTTTCTCGCGACGTCTGAAAGCTCCACTTCGCCTGCATCCGGTTTGTTCATCGCTCTTACTTCTTTCATAAACTGCGCTCTCAATCTTCCCTGTCGAGCTCGTTCGTGTCTTTGTATTAATAGAATAGCCTGTTTGATCGGCATAATATCGTCGACAGTCTGTTCTTCGTAAAATCCAGTTTTTTTCAATATTTCATCTATGAAATCGTATTGCCATCGCATGATCTCTGCTCTTTCATCCCTGTAGTGTATTGGAATTGTCAACTCGATATCCAACGGAAGTATCTTTTGTCGTGCTAGAGCCGCGTCTAGATAAACGAATTCATTGCAATTCAAATTCACCATGTCATTTCTCAGTTCCAAGTATCGGCCAATAGACAACTCGAGAATATTTCTTATTAATAAACGTTTTTGTGGTTGAATCACCTGATCATAGCACTCTTCTAGTTTGTTTATGGCCGAAATATAATTTACCATGACCATAGATATTTCAGTAAATAGTACAGTTTTGTCTTTGTTTATTTTAGATGTCAATAGATTAGAATCAATTTTAGTATTTTCATCTAATACCGATTGGGCAAGCGCCCACAATTTGTTGTAAGTCCTATAGGACATGAAGGACGTTTTAAAACCGACTGCTCATAAAACTATTGGCGTAAATATTATTCAGTGTGTAATCAATACACGATGTAACCATGTTAGCGCGTTATCAAACGAGAGTAATCAATTCGAATATAAAAAATATCAAACGGTTAAACCATTTGAAGACAAGAGGGTGTCTAAATGAAAAATATGTTTCCTTTAATTGAGTATCATCAAGTTTAGCTTCATATTAATCATATATGTATACAAAGTGGAGAAGATTTAACTGAAAACTCTTATAACTTTTGATACAATTAAAATTTTGTTGTAGTTTTTTTGAACAATGATTTTATTCATAGACCACGTTAAAAGCATATTTATAATAATTTGTCTTTATGTAGGCAATATCCTTCTTTTTGTATCAATAGTTATGATATCTTAGAATTAAAGTTCTTATAATTTAAACAAGTAGTTCATTTATTACCATTGATCCATATGTAGTTTATTTTCTTTATTAGTCAACTCTATTAACAGCTATATTTATAATACCCCACGAGTGTTTTCATAGTTCTTAGTTGTGCGTGTTTTAATTATTGAAAATATTAAGTAATAAAAAATGATAGATTATTAATTGTTGAGATTTTTATACATTTAATTATTGAAAATTTTCATTTTGATACAAATTTATTTTATTATTATTGATAGAAAGGTTTATTGAAAATATTTTAAGGTACATAAATGTATAAAATATGATTGTCTAAAAACGTTACTTTGATTTTCCAAAAAAATCAGTAACGCTATAGAAGTAGAAAACCGACGAAAATACTAAGAAAATCTAAAAATTCACTTACGCTTCGTTTTAATGAAACTTTTACACTATTTTACTATCTTTTTAAAACAATTTTAAGAATTTTTTATATAAAGATTTCTTTTTTACAATTTTAAAGTGTTATACAAATCAGTTAATATCATGAATTGATATCTGCAAATAAAAATTTGAAGATATCATTTTTGTACCGATAGAAACAAAAAAGTGCCGCTATTAGAAGAATTAAAAATTTGTAAAGTTAGTAATACCCTTATATCATATGCATGTATTTATTTTCTAACTAGGATTTAAAATTGTGTTAATTTGTAACTTGTAAAATATCACACAGGTACAAATCTACAAAGTTATTGAAATTTACCTGCATTAAGAAACTTTATAGCTAAATACCTAAAACTTATACACGTATCACATTTAAACATTTAACAAATGGTTTTAATCACATTCATTGAACACTCATTTAGGTTTTGTAAAGATAAAAAGTGTAATTATCTCGACCCCGGACAACAATGAATTTTTGATCAAAATTATGATATAAAAACAATAGTGTACAATTTTTTGGCGCATGTTATTTATCGCAAGAATAAAATCTAGTTCGTTAAACTTCGCGGGTAAAATTTAAAATATCTGCAATATCAAAAATACTGTCTAAGGGTGTTTTTTCCTCAGTAGTTGTTAACTAGTAATTTTTACTTGTACGTGGTTCATGATTTCGTTAAACTAAAACATTATTTACAATTAGTGGAGTAGTCAGGACTTTAAGGTTATGGAGACAACCTTCAATTTATAGTTAACCATAGACGTTCCACAAAAACATAGGAGATAAAACACCACGATAAAAATAAATATATGATAAATGTGTATTTTGGAGAGGACAGTAATGAAATTATTTATATACCTCCTCCTAAAATAAAACTCTGAGAACCTATTGATAGATATGAAAAATAATTTTAACAATACTAAAAAACTTTACAGCAATTGTTTTACTTTCACTTCTTAAAATAAATATTAAAAATACAATAGCAAAATAAAATTAATAAAAAAAATAATAAAAATTATTTTCTTTCTATGAAAATTAACAATAGTCAATACACACTAACTTTCTTTCTTTTTATTTAATAATGTATAAACACACACTACATAATAACTTATGGATAGTCCATAAAAAGTTTCTTATAACTAACTAAAGTTTAAAAATTAACTAGAACTTTTAGTTTACGAAAGAACCTCTAACAAAAATAACGTAGTACTTATTCCATCCATTGAAACATAACATATTATAAAATATTCTAAAACTTACAAATTTAATTTTTATTTAAACTAAATTAAAGTTATCAATTAACTATTAAGAATATTATACTCTGGTCAGAATTTATAATCTACTATAAACTGCACCAATGAAAAAAGCATACTTTCCATTAATAATATTTGTATGCTCTTTATATTAATAAAATATAATATTTTATATTAATATTTATATTAATATTATATATTTATGTAATATTTTATGCTTCATGATATTAGTTAGCGTCTTCTAAACCGCAAACGGTAACAAAATTTCACCATCGATTTAATACTATGATTGGAAAATTCGAGAAATTTAGCTGTTTTCAATACACAATACCTGATCGACCATATAACAAACACGAAAATTAAAAAAAAAAAAAATGATTACAAAATTAAAGAAATTAGTGGGGTTATTTATCAGATACTATTGAAAACTAACGTTTAGTTTAGTTTTTGGAAAGCTTAGCGTGATATTGTAAAAATAGTCCTTAAATTCTCACACACCTTGTCATACACTCGTCATTGACCTGTTCAAATGGCTTGGGTATTATCCCTAGTATAAATTTTTAATACATATTCATATTTTAAAACGCAATTTTAACAGGACAAAATTAATAAAGGTCGAAATTTCTATTTTTGAGTAGAACAAGAGATTGATAAAAATGATTTTAAGGTTGTTAAGTTCAAATTGTACTATATTTTTCAATATTTCTTCTTTTTATGTAGGGTCAAAGTGGTCGTTTATCAATTTTAGTCAACTTAAAATATATGTATTTTATTTTTTTTTGATTTTCTTTATAAACTCCATCCTTCAAACTAGCATAAACATTAAAAAATTATATTTCATTCATGTTAAAGTTGTAAAAAAAGAAAAGTCATAGAGCCATTTTTTTAAATATAAAATTAGCTTAGTGGTTATATTGTGGAGAATAAATTACAAGTAATTTAAGCAGTTTTGTGAAATAATAGGTCAGTCAAAAATTAACTCCAATCTAGTATAATCAGAAATGATTGTCATATATTGTCACACCATGTAATAACAAAACAAAATCAAAAACATTTTTATTAATGTTCTTATATATTGAGTTAAGTCAGTTTCTATGTTAAAAAATTTTAATACAGGGGGGTTCAAAACATAAAATGCATATAGAAAGTAAAACTTTTTCAACTTAATTTTTGAAAGTATTCCGGAAATACTGACACTTTTATATATATCTTAAATTAAAGCTTATATAATATACTTAAATATTAAAAAATTTCGGACTTTATTTTGTTTTCATGGTGAAAATAGTCATCAAAGTTAATTAAAAAAACCCATCACAGGGGGGTCGCGGCACAGTGGTGACGTGGCATAGTTGGATTAAGTATAATGATATCTGACAGTGATTAAAATCACTATCAAAAAAAAACGCTTCGATGAAAATCTTTAGATAATGTTTAATCTTGAAATATTGGTGGATTATTCTAAAAATTACATGATCTGCTAGTTTCTTATTAATATTCTAATTAAGATAAAGTATGTCGAATGAAAAAGGGATTATTAAAAAATACTCAGGCCTAAACAGTAAGGTTTTGTAAAAAAGTTGCTATTTTAAATACGCCCCAGTGAGCAGGTTAAGTGTTAGATTTTCAAAAAAATGATATCAAATGAAAGGGAAATATCTATGGTTTTAGTATAAACAAAAATTACGTTAATTTGTTGAGTTTTGAAAAAGTTATGGAAGTTTTAAGAAAAAAAAGTGAAAAAAATGACAAAATTTACCGATTGTTAAATTTGAAACTTTTGGAGGTTTCCCCCATTTGAGGGGAACGAGGGAAAATTTTTCAATTTTTGAGGGTAATGTCTTTAACTAGATACGATTTGTGATATTTTGATGTATTGTTGAAAGAAATCGGTTCAGTGAGAGCTGATATAAAGTGGCAACAGGTATAAAAAAATAAATAATAATAAACATATCATGGTAAAATTAATACCTTCTCAGCTTCGCATCGAAGCTAATATAACTCAAGTTCGTATCAAATCATATTTTTGTCACGTTTTTTTCTGAAGAAATTCGAAGTAACCATCATATATCAGGATTTCAAGATTTTTAGGTGTTATATTTTCTTTATATTTTCCAATACGAATGACTTAGGATGGATTACTGCTACAATAACATAAAAGAATTAATAGTGTTTTAAAAGAATTATTAATATATAAATTGAGAATTCTAAATTTAAATCGTACAAATAATAATAATAATGATATGGACAATTTTTCACAAATATTAATTTAATAATAATTTAACATTAATTTTAACAGCGTAATCATCAAAAACCAAGTAAGAATATTGAACGTTTAGTTTTCTTTTTTTTCAAGGCTGACATTTATTTTGGAAAAAGATCCCATAAGTTTTTTAACAAATGACTGGAGTTCGTATTTAATTACATTTTTGTCGCGTTTTTTTACTTCTTTATGAAATTCAAAGTAACCAACATGTTTCATGATTTCAAGATTTCTAGGTGTTATATTTTCTTTGTATTTTCCCAATACGTGTGGCTTCGGATGTATTATTGCTACAATAACATATGATATAGTTTATTTATTTATTTTTTTTACATTTGACCCTTTACCCGCCCACAGGAGGGGATTCAAAATGACAACTTTTTCAACTTAACTTTTGAAAATGTTCCGTAAGGTCTGACACTTTTATATATATCTTAAATTAAAGCTAATGTAATTTAATTTATTATGCAAAAAATAAATTTCGACTTTATTTTATCTTCACGGTAAAAATGGCTACCAAATGCTATTATTGTGTGAAAATTCTCAATTTTATTTTTTACATTTTTAACTTTATAAGGCTATGACATATTGAAAAGTGTATGGATCAACATTATTTTGTTATGAGAAATAATATTTTTTAATAATCCCTTTTTCATTCGACATACTTTATCTTAATTAGAATATTAATAAGAAACTAGCAGATCATGTAATTTTTAGAATAATCCACCAATATTTCAAGATTAAACATTATCTAAAGATTTTCATCGAAGCGTTTTTTTTTGATAGTGATTTTAATCACTGTCAGATATCATTATACTTAATCCAACTATGCCACGTCACCACTGTGCCGCGACCCCCCTGTGATGGGTTTTTTTAATTAACTTTGATGACTATTTTCACCATGAAAACAAAATAAAGTCCGAAATTTTTTAATATTTAAGTATATTATATAAGCTTTAATTTAAGATATATATAAAAGTGTCAGTATTTCCGGAATACTTTCAAAAATTAAGTTGAAAAAGTTTTACTTTCTATATGCATTTTATGTTTTGAACCCCCCTGTATTAAAATTTTTTAACATAGAAACTGACTTAACTCAATATATAAGAACATTAATAAAAATGTTTGTGGTTGATATGTAAAACATACCGTAGCCCGTGTCTANGACAATCAAAGTTGTATGTGGTTGATATGTAAAACATACCGTAGCCCGTGTCTAGATTAAGGAATAGGAATGAAATACACGCGAGTAATTAAGTTACTCGCGCAATAAAATAAAGATTACAGTTGAAATTAATAAGGAAATTTAATTTAATTGT